GTCACGCGACATAGGAACTCTGTCATGTCAAGTGCCAAGGGAAGGCCCGTCCACATCTTGTGGATCACAGTCAAGCTACACAGCTATACTGTGCCTCCTTCCCTCATCGCCATCGGGCCGGCGCACGCTCGAGCCTGTGTGCACGCTACGCCGCCGGCCATCAACATTGGCCCATCCATTCGCACCACTCAGACGAATAGCGGCGGTCTCCGCGTCCGCCTGCGTGCCATCGCTTTCATCGTCCTCTGGCGCATAAACACGAGACTTCTTGCGTTTGACGCCCGTAGCAGGCGCTATCCCGGGGTCGGTAGAGGAGCTCGAAGAAGGCGTAATTCCGGGTGCGTCTAACGATCTACGCGTCTCGGACGCCGAGCTCTTCCGTTTCGTCTCTGTGGGCGGTGGGTCCGGCTTGCGCATCTTACTAAAGTTATGGTTAGTAAGGTGGTAGAATGAGACTACACTATCGTTCTTACGTGTTCAGCTTAGGTTCCGCATAGTTGATGCTTTTGCGGACGCGCCGCTCCCGTCCACCAACCATTGTATTGGGGTCAGAATCCGCTGCGGGGCTGGAAGCCCGAGGCGTGGGTAGATATCCGTCCGGTCTTGATGTCACCGTTGGCGTCGCAAGGAAGGTTCGCGCAGTTGTGAATGACGACGTAGAGGCGGTGGATGTGGCTGGGATGAAGTGATCGGCATCTGGTGTGGTTTCTCGGTCACGATCTTTACAGCAGTACGTCAGACAAACATGCGGGCAGTCAGGAAGGGAATTGAGAGCAGGATCCCACCTGGTATACTCAGCAGAGATGGTCGGGGAGGGGGTGCGTTCGTTACATCCTTCAACTTGGGTTTCTTCCCTGCTTTGGGACTACCCGGGTCTTCAATGGCCTTTGATCTCCGTCTATCGCGCTCTCGTTTACTGAATTCCGTCATTACATCTTCTTCCTCCCTCTCATACTCTTTCTCTTTACTCTTCCGCTTTCTGTCTCGTCTCGAAACACCCACGGCCGACGGTTCGTCAGGTTCATCGTCGTCCTGCAAATCGCCCTCGATGAGAGAATTCATCTCCTCCTCCTCTCGTAATGCTGCCTCCAAACGTAAAGGGGAGCCAAAAGCTGGACTAGACGGGCGTGGAGGAATAACCTCCGTGGAATACCCTTTGGGCGTCAAAGTAGTTATTGACATGCTCGTGGTCAGAAGGCCGCTTTGTCTTCTCGTCGGTTTGCGCTTGCCAGACTTAGTCATCTCGTCATCAAAGTTTACCACGTCGAGCTGTATGATGTCTGGTGGAGGAGGGGATGCTACCCCCGAGGACCGAGTGCTACTCGATGCGCGCGACTTCTTTCTCCGAACAGGGGTTGGACTCGGCAATTGACGTTCACCGTATGTTTTGCGTTCCAAATCGTCCATGGCCACATGGTCGTGTTCATCTTCTTCTTCGATGCCTGGTATATCGGGGGGTCGTGCTATGCGGTTTGGCGGAGGGGATGCGTTCGGGTCGGGTTTTGGTGGGCGGCGAGCTCGTGGGCGAGGGGCTTGTTGCGGGGGACTTGAGTCTGGTGTCAAAGACGACACTCCAAACGATTTGCGGATGAGCCCTAGGTGTTTCATGAGGTTGTGTGTCTTCGGAGCATCAGGTCCTTTCTACGCAGAACTCCAGACAGAAACGTGCTCACCGCTGCCTCCGTATCTGCAATGATCTTTCTGGACTTCTCGCGCTCCCTCTTCAATTGCGTCGTCAGAGCTATTTCTGACGCGCGCAGTCGTAGGTTCTCAACATAGAGAGTAGATATCTGCGCGTTTAGTTCCTCGATCCGTACGCTTAACGTTGAATTGAGCCTGGAGAAGTACTGGAGATAAGTGCTTCACGCGCCGATAGGGACATTTTATACACACTTGGTAATGTGTTTGTTGGCGAGGAGAAATTTCTTCTTGACTGTCACAAAACGGTTAAGTTCGTGCCGCGGTGAGTATGACCGCTGGGATAGATAGCAGGTCATGGACACTCACAAGTCTCGAATTCCGAGAGAGTATCATTTTGTCGAGTATCTACGGAGACACGCGACTGTCTCCTGCTCATTGTTGCAGGCGATGGCGAGGATGCCTTCCGACGTCGTCGTGGTTGAGGTCGTGTTTGGTTCGTGCCCGCGGCCAAACAGTGAGCGCCAGCTTCGATCTTCGGCGTCTAACAAGTTTCTTACGAACGGCGATGTGGATTCAGAGTAGTATGTTTTCCTCCCTTTTCTCCTCTGGACTAGAGCGGATGACTATCGAAAAATTGCGACGTGCTAGCAAGGCCAGCAAAGCCAGGGCCACAGCCACGAATCTTTGATGCTCCCAGCCTCGTTCAAATGATACGCATGATCTGATCATCTGCTACTCCCACGAAACCACAGAGTCATTGAGCGTTATCGGTATGTTATGAATCTTGTTCTCTATGGACGCGTTGATTTATGACAGCCTCTGGGTTGTGTTATTTATTATTTTCTTAGCCTACGACAGCTTCTGTCAGTAATTCACCGCTGCAGTCCTACGCGTCGTACGAGGTATTTGTGTGTCAGATGCAATCTTACAGTATAGATGCACTAATTGATACATAGTTAGTACATGCATTGGAGACATGATCGTGAAAACGCTCCTACCAACAGCGTTGGTTGATCATTTCCCGGGATAACAATGTGCATCAGCCACCTACATTGAAAACATACTGTACTCTTAGACGTACTGATACACAAGGCGGATCCAAAGCAAGATCATTCTTTGTTATGCCTATAGTTGCTGCATAGACAAATGGTCCAGAAATCTATTATACGGTGCGCGAGCTGCAGACATCAGTGTTTTCTTCTTTCACGACAGTGTTCTCATACTAGCCGGTATACGTCGTTCATGGTCCAAACCTGAACTTTACACCCGGTGGCCAACGGTACTACGCGCGTGTTCTCCACTTCCAGAAATTATCTCGTTCCGTTCGTTCACCCGGCTGTCCGCTCGAATGAAGAATGGTGGGCTTGAGATCACGACATGTAAGTGTTTCAAGACGAATTCGCCTTTTCATGCCCAAGATATCTCCCATAATAGCGAGCTTCTTGCCATTGTGGATCAGGAAAGCGTGCTGGTAGCATGGATTCTTTCCTACCACCGGTCAGCAAGATGCATGGTCTATTGGAACCGAACTCGGCTGATGCATACCACCCACTATGAAAAGTGGAGTTATGAAGACACTAGTCGGCCAACATTGTATGCTGTCCTGTTGCGATGAATGTGTTTCTCCGAGCCGAGCGAGGGTACGTGCTTCATGTATTGCTACTCTTTGCGAGCTTTACCGGAACCGAACACTTCTTCACACAGAATCTATCAATCTCTGCTTGTACCGCGATCGTTGTCTGGATCTACGTCATTTCAGCACATGGTGAACGCATGCTCGACCCGCACGATCATATCCCGCATTGCTACGACCACTACGGCGGTATAGTCTTCACGTCACCAGCGTATGGTCCGCGCTGCCCGTAGGCTATATTCTATCGGCGCAGTACGCCTTCCTCGTTGCGCGTGCGTATATCTTTCCAAACTCATGCTGCCTCTCCACTCCAGAACAGCATAAACATAGCTTTGTGCCATACTAATCGCCTGCGGCGAGTGCGCGTAGGACGTGACCTTATTGGACAGATAGATCGCATGCACAGCGGCCCGCCCGCTGCCACGTTTAGTTATCGCACTCTGCACCGCAACTCACCCGCAATGCACGGCATGCCCTGTACGACCGGTACCACGCACACTAGTCAGCCGACATGTGCGCATTGCAGGCACGATTCATATTAGCTCCCGACCTGGTTGCGGGTTTGCCACACGTCCGGCATTCTGCGTTGTGGCACGAATGGTCCTTGTCTAGGATTTTCACGTCGATGCCCTCGGCGAAGGTTTTGATGACGGAGCGGTGCTCGATTGATCCGTTACGGCTTAGCCGTTAACGTTCCATCTAGCCTGCCACCGGAAGCTATAAGGACTCTTGCATCCGTACACATCGTCCTCTAGCGTACATAGTAACAGGGTATATATAGCTTCCATTGCCATCACAGAGGAATCATACCTGCCTCGTCGCATACTAGTATTTCCAGGTACATAGGTGCCCCAACAAGATGAACAATATCCGGAATGACGCACGTCATAGACTGTTTCCTGTAGAATCGACAAGTATAGCGCCAAGGATCGATCATTTCATTTCCTCGACAAGCCTGCTTTCTGACAAGACATTGCAGCCACGTCATCTGGGCTAACGGGTCGCTCTATACACCGTGACATACGCTCAGCTAGTATAACGGCTAGAGCGTGCTTACACTGCATCGGTGTCATTGATCAAGGGCGTCTCATTCAAGATAATGTCGAGTTCACGTACCATGAATTGTGCGTCGGAGACCAGAGTCGAGAATGCGAAGGAAGCACATGTACAATACGGCGGTATTATATGTGCCTTCGCAGAATAATCGCCGGGAAAGGTTGTATACGCGGCTGATGTACCCAGTACCTCGTACTGTGCGTGACCCCAAGGGACCTTAAATTTAATGACTACAGATCACGTTAGAGTAGAGCTAGAAGAGTTGCATGAACGGCACGGACCATTCTGACGATCGACCAAATCCAACGAGGCCAATAGTAGATTATCATCAAAGAAAAACCGTAGCTTGTCGAGGTACTCGTCCACTTGAATAAATGGTGTTAGTAAATACAGTAATGGCGTTAATGGACCAGCCGAACACAAATCGTCTTCACTCTCTTCCACGTTTTCAGCTTTGTTCGCCACCAAAGCAGGTGCCTCCTCTAAAGTAGCATTCAGGAGTGCAATTAACTCTGGAGACATGGGGTATGTGATGCTACTGGCAATGGTCGGAAAGAACGTTCTTGCTCGTGGAGAGAGTTAAGGGCCAAGTTAAACAACGGCCGTAGGCGCAGGTTCATCGGGCTCGTAAATTAAGTGATGTATAAGCTCCAAAATATGATGGTCTCAAGGCCATATAGTGTAGTGGTTATCACTTGGGATTTTGACCTTGAATTCCCATAACCCAGGTTCGAACCCTGGTATGGCCTAACATTTTTTGCTCGCATATCCTGTAAACTGTTTAATCCTTGGAGACTGGGGTCTCCGTCGTCCGAACCTTGCACGGTAGTCTGAGAATGAATCCGTTTTTCTCTTATACTCGTCGGCAATGCTCAATGTACATCGTTATACTCTTATTCGCATTTCGACACATTGCAAGACAGATATGATACAATTGATCGAATCAGAGGTCTCGTTGCCCATGTCACATCAAATACTCTTCAAAGGTATCCCTATCAAAGCAAAACGTTAGACGTGCGAGGAAAGTCGATTCGTCAGGTACGTACTGCAGCATTCGGAGGACTTGCAACGCCGCCAATGCTTTCCGATAGCATTCATGTCAGAGATTCTACAGGAGCTAAAACTAGGCGACTTACGAGTTCAAAGGCCAGGAAGAGAAAAAGAAGGTCCACCTCTTCGCGGCAGCGCACTCTTTCGACAATTTCTCGAGATCGAAAAGTTCACCTGCTGCCCATTAGACGGTTCAACCGCTGAGATAGGTATGCTTACCGATCGGCATACCCCACATACTATTGTAACATACGTGAGACAGAATGGTACGGGATGTGCGGGTCACTCACACGATCATTTGTTGGTGCAAACGAGCTGACCCAGAAGGATCGGGCCAACGCTGTTCCGAGTTGTCAAAACAAATGGTGGCGAGCGGCCTAAGGAGTCTTCTTACCTCCAACGTCGGTTGGTCCGACGCAACCGCCGCGAAGTGTGTATTCCTACCGTGTACACATACAAGTCAGATGGTGCTCATAGCGGACAGCCACGTTTGATGATGTATACCAAAGGAATTTGACCATTTCTTCGCTTTGTTCGAGGCCGGTGCTGCGATCGTCACTCATTGGTATCAGGACTATGAAAAACACAATTCCTCGCACCTGATTTCTGGTTTTCCCCCAAGCGCGTTGCGTGCTTCCCACGAAGAGGCGTACCATTTCTGCATCCATCCCATCCGCAGAACGAGGATATCGCCCTGACGGAATGTGATACCCTCTTTCTTGGCGCATGCTTGTAAATCTTGTAGCGGGATAGCGTGCGTGGTCCAGGGATCGTACGGAAGCGGCTTAGTGCCGTTCTCGGTATAGAACTCTACCATGTCGAGTAAGATACCTCTGCCGCTGATGCCATGTTGCGCCCAGTCTGTACCAAACGAACAGCAGTGTAAGCAGGATCGAAAAGGAAAGACTGTCATGCTAGGACTGACTGTGGATACCGAGCTTAACGAGCGGAGACTCCTTGTCGATATTTGCAGCATCAAGGCTTTCCAAATTCAAAGAGCCGCGATAGAAGAAACTCGCTGGTGTGCTACGGGCGTGTTCAGGATGCGATTGCGATGCGTGAAACTGACGGTACGACATACTTATTATAGAATACGTGATGGTTGACCAGTCCGTAATGCTTGAGCCCGTCCCATTGGGAACCAGATTGTGTGTTCTATCCGAGCCATGCCCCATGAACACATTGGGATAGACAAACATTTATCATTAACGTTCTCACTTACCATCGAAATCATGTCATCATTGACATGCACTTTGTTCTTCATCCACGAGGTCACAGCAGGCGGCTGGCGGCCGAACATAGGCTATAAAACAGTAATAAAACCTTATTAGTGACGATGAACCTGACCGAATCGAATAGACGAGACCTTGCATGGGAAGTTGATTGGCCTATGATGCAGAATACTCGTACTCAGTGCGAACAAGTGGTAAGACTTGACGCAGTGCTCACCAGCTCAGACTGACCATCTTTCCGAGTCTACGAGCACAAGGCTCGTTAGTGTAGTTTCACTGTGAGCAGCAGCGAAGTAACAGACTTTATCTCTTTTGCTGCTTCAGCGACGACTTCTTCGGTCAAGAGGTTTACCGTGCCGAGCTGGTCGTCTTTCCCCCAAACGCCCCATGCACATCCCTTGAATTCCTCGAAAGCAGGAAGCTCGTCAAATGTCGGAAGCTGTTTGGCCATAGCTTTGTTCAAACGATCCTTGTGAGACGAGGGTTACGTGGGAGTGGCGCTGAAGGCGGCAGACCGTAGTCCTTTATAACCTCGCATACTTGTGAAGGCCCCATGATCAATCACGCCAACGCGCTATGCTTTAGCTGCTCCGCAGGTCACCCGTGCGGTCTTATCATCCTCACAGGCGTTCACCGCCGTGATTGAATTGGCAAGCCGCTAGTCAGATTGAGAATAATTATCTTTACAGAGCACATCTAGACAATACAAGAAGGCATTAGAGTAACTCGGACACGACTGTTCATCTCACAGTACTCGACAACACCCTTCACTACACCATCCGGCTCTCAAGCCGGGCCTGTTATCCCCTAATGAATGGGTGGACCAGTGCCTCTTTGGGTGTGATTCTTTTCGCAGGGTCCAACGCCGTGCACTTATCAAGCAGATCGATGAATGACGTTAACATTCGCATCTCATCGTCCTTTATCTTTGCGGACGCCGGAGGCATGAGCCTCGCACGGAGGTCTCTGGAAGGTTTGGTGATGTGAACCTTGCGAACGACGTCCTGACCGCCCCACGAGTCAGTAAACAGGCACATTACTCCGGGAAATATAGACGCACCGCTCCTGTGACACGGTCCTTCTCGATACTTTGAAATGCACCGAGTTCGTCGAAATATAGATCCCCAAATTTGGCTTTCTTGATCATCTTAGTGTTGAAACGACCCTTCAGCTCCATCATAAGCAGAAGCATCTGATTATTTGAGCGGCCCGGGAAGAGAATCTTGCCGGTGTATAATTCGTAGAGAGTGCATCCGATCGACCAAATATCCAGAGCTGGGTCATAAGGTACACCGAGGACTAACACAGAAATTGGTTAGCGACCTTTACGGTCAGCAGGAAAACGACTTACTGATTTCTGGCGCACGGTAGAATCTGCTGACCAGATACGGTGTGATATCGTTCTCGGAGGCATCCGACGCTGAGCCGAGGTCACACAACTTGAGGAGATTCTTTGCCTCGTTTACCTACGATGAAGCTCTCAGTACAACCGTCGGAATGAACACGGAAGCCACTAACCAAGATATTGTCAGGCTTGATATCCGCGTGCATAATGTTGCATTTACGCAGAAGACTCATAGCAAGGAATAATTGGTGAGCATACGCCCGTACAGCGCGAATGTTGAGTCCAACATCTTTACCGAAACGTTTTACGACGTCCCGCAGATTCATGCTGTTGTTGGAGTAACCCGTAAGTGCGAATCAGTTACGACGTTCAGCGACAAGACTAACCTCAAAGATTCAAAAACGAGGCACAAATGACCACGGTGTTCGAACGTCCGCTCTAGGCGCACAATATGTTTCTTGTCCTCGGGATCCGCCTGCTTCAGCTTATTGAGGATTTGGACTTCTTTCAGACCGGCCCGGTACCTAGTCGCGCTGTCAACAACATATGCAACATACCATCTGCACACTCACATTGATTCTTGGCACCGGACAATCTTGATGGCGACCTCCCCGCCAGCTTCGCCGATATCCCCTTGTAACACGCGTGCTTTAACGACATTCGCAAACATACCCTTACCGAGCGACGAGAAAACCTGATAGCGGCCGCCGTCAAGCTGTTCTCCCAAGATGACTTGGTAGTAGCCCTCGGCATCCGCTGCGGAGTCTAGAGTGGTAGTAATCAGCGCAGGTACTGCAGGCTTCTGTGAAACTGAATTTAGTATAACGATTTGACGCATATAGTGGAGAGACTGACCGCGACGCGTTTGACTTTCTTGATCTTCCTCACTTTCTTCTCCGTAGTAACCACAGCGAACATATCCTCTACTTCGTCTTCCTCCTCCTCCTCTTCCTCAATCATCTCGATGTCAGCGTCTGAATCTTGGTTGACAGCTCTTACTCGCTTCTGTTCGTCTTCTCGACGATCTAAACTAGGATCGTAGTCGGCTGCGGAAATCTGCTCTGCATTACCGTCCTGTTCCTGCATTTTGTGGTGAGCGTCTTCTTCATCACCATCCTTCGCCAGCGAGAAACCACTCGGAGTAGGTGACGCCGACTCGGACACTCTTTTACCTAGATACAAGAATCAGTTCGTGCACTTCGCGGTAAGACCAGGACGTACTCGCGAGCGCGCTCGGCGGAATACTGGGAGTAGCAGGAACACTGTAGGGTTGAGATTGTGCATCAGAAACAGACGAAATGGGAGTCGGTTCGACCGCACTACTAGGTCCAGGGGATGGTGACGCCGTCTGACTGGTGTTTATGTTGTCCATGTGAGCGTATTTAGCCAGGATCGCCTGCCTGCGAGCACGTCTAGCAGCCAGAGTCTCTTCGACGGAGGGGGGAGAAGTCGTCAATTCCAACTCGGGTTCGGGTTGCTCCACAGGCTGTGATGGCGTGGGTTCCGGCTGAGATCGTGGGCTTTGCCGTGGAGAAATCCTGCGCAGAAGACTTAAGTTCTAGATTATTTAGATGTAGACATGATACTCACTCGCCTTCCTCCTTCTCGGACTCTTCTTGAGGTGTCACTGTACGTCCATTGGCTTGACCATTGAGCTGACTGGAAGGAGAGTGTCGCCTCCGATCGTCCCGCCTCGAATCGTCGCGGCGATCGTTGTATCCTCTATCTCGTTCGCGGTCGCGTTCCCTCTCTCTATCGTGACGGCGTTCTCGGCTGCGATCATCTCTTCTGTCGCGGCCGCGGCCACGTCGGCCGTCTCGGTCTCTACTGCGAGGTCGATATTCGCCCTTGCGTCTATCAACGCTGTCTCTTCTGTCTGCAGCGGGCTTTCTTCTGGGCGATTTCAGGTGAACATCTCTCCAATCTCTCGAGCCCTCCCTTGGTCGCTTGTGAGAATCTGTGTCAGTGTTTCCATCCCAGGGACGCTTTGATCCTGAGGGCACATTAGTCATTTTTCAAACACTGGGGTTTACGGAGGGCCGCACGATAAAAAGAGGTAATTATCTCGGGTATACCGTCACTGGCGATGGTGGTGGTCGTAAGCAAAGCGTTGGGCGTCTTG